CTGGAAAAGAGGGAGAAAAGAAAGATTAATCGTGATGTAAAAGGAAAAATTGATAAATTAATATATTGAAGAGATAAAGAGAAACAAAGGGAGAATCAGAAGCATAAAGATGGATATAAATAATGGCGTTAGAATAGAAGAATTACGAAAAGAGTAATGATGATTTCATATAATGATCAGTAATGATGATAATAATGGTAATAATATAGTATATGTAGTAGTTGTAATCGTAGTTATAGTGATAATAATAAATATAATGTTAATAACAGTAATATTATAACAATATTAGTATCAACAACAGTACTAATAACAACAATAGCAATAACTGCAATGACGATAACAAAGATAACGACAACAACAACAACTCGAGAACCGAAAAAAACATTTCCTCTCTTCCCCCTCTTCCCATCTTTCTTAGATAACCCTTCCTCCCCCCCCCTTTCCCTCCCCACCTTTCCCTTTCAGACACAACCTCTCCTTGAGACGCGTGACCCAATCACACGCCAAGTCCCCCAGGTCCTTTGGCCAATCAGGGGGGGAGAGGGGGGTGGGGGGAGGGGTCACGCACGGTGCCTCTCTCTCTGTGGGGCGTCTCGGAGGGGTGCGTGACTCAGCAAGGAGAAGAAAGGGGGAGAAGAAGAAAAAAAGGAGAAAAAGAGGAGGAGAGAAAATGGGTGAATCTCATGACTTGGGGAGATCTTCGAAACGTGGTAGATAATAATCAATGAATTTGCAATGGTATTGGTAGTAGTGATAATAATAAAAACAATAATAATAATAATGGTGATGATGATGATAATAATAGTAATAGCAGTAATAATAACAAAATAATAATGATGATATAATAATAAGGATATAAAGAGATTTTTGCTTCTAACTGGTCATCGTGGTGGTCTGTGGCGAGGATAGAGGAGGGAGTGGAATTAAATATCATAGGGGCAGGATAAGCATTTCCTGTTTGGGGATTCCCGGAGAGAGAGGATGGGAAGGAGGGAGGGAGGGGCAGGGAAGGAGAGAGGGAAGGAGGGAGAGAGGGAGGGAGGGAGAGAGGGAGGGAGGAGAGAGGAGGGAGGGAGGAGAGGGAGGAGGGAGAGGAGAAGGGAGGGAGGGAGAGAGAGAGAGATGGGAAGGAGGGAGGGAGAGAGGGAAGGAGGGAGAGAGGGGAGGGAGGGACAGGGAGGAGAGAGGGAAGGAGGATGGGAAGGAGGAGGGAGGGAACGAAGGAGAGAGAGAGAGGATGGGAGGAGGAGGGAGGGGGAGAGGAGGGAGGGAGGGAGGGAGGGAGGGAGGGAGAGAGGGAGGGAAGGAGGGAGGGAGGAGAGAGAGAGAGAGAGGATGGGAGGGAGGGAGGGAAGGAAGGAGGGAGAGAGAGAGGGAGGAAAGGGAAGGAGGGAGGGAGGGAGAGAGGGAGGTAGTAGGGAGGGAAGGAGGGAGAAAGGAAAGGAGGGAGAGCGTGACAGAGAGAAAGAAAATGGAAAGAGAGAGACAAACAGACAGACAGAAAGAGAGAAATTCCCGAAGAGGGTGATCAGAGGGGGGGGGGGGGGGAGAAGTGGGCGGCCTTCGCGGACCTGCCTCGCCCCGCCCACGCCCGCCACCTGAGCTGTCTCTTACTCTGAGACTTCTACGAAATGTATGTGGTGCGTGGTGTGTGTGCGTGTGTGTGTGTGTGTGTGTGTGTGTGTTGTGTTTGTGTGTGTGTGTGTGTGTGTGTGTGTGTGTGTGTGTGTGTGTGTGTGTGTGTGTGTGTGTGTGTGTGTGTGTGTGTGTGTGTTGTATGTATGCGTGCCTGCGTGTGTGCGTGTGTGTGCGTGTGGGAGGGGAGGGAAGGAAGGAGGGAGGAGGGAAAGAAGGAGGGAGGGAAGAAAGAGAGGGAAGGAGGAGGGAAGAAAGGAGGGAGGAGGGAGGGAGGGAGAGGGAGGGAAGGAGGAGGAGGGGGAGGGAAGGAGGGAGGGAGGGAAGGGAGGGAAAGGGAGAGGGGGGAGAGGGAAGGAGGGAAAGGAGGGAGGGAGGGAGGGAGGGAAGGAAAGAGGGAGGGAGGAGAGGAAAGGAGGGAGGGAGAGGAAAGGAGGCAGGAGAGGAAGGAGGGAAGGAGGGGAGGGAGGGAGAGGGAGAGAGAAAGAAAGAAAAGAGAGAGAGAGAGAGAGAGAGAGAGAGAGAGAGAGAGAGAGAGAGAGAGAGAGCGAAAAAGAGAAAAAGAGTTATTTTTTTTTTTTTCCCATTTCTTTTTTTCTTTCGTTCTTTCTCTCTTTCTTTTTCTTCTTTTTCTTTCGTTTATAATTAATCTTCGATAGGACAATTGTGTCTTCAAATAGAATAGACACATATGAAAATAAAATTGATAACTATATAAAATAGATAGGTAAGCAAATAAATAAATAAATAAAAAGATAAATAAATAAATAAATAGAAAAAAACAAATAAACAAACAAATACAATATCAACACATAAACAAACAAACAAACAAAATCAAAATAAAACAAAATCCAACAGAAGTACAAAAAAAAAAAAAAAGATGAACAAGGTCGTGAACAACTTCCTTACAAAAACACGAGATGATGTTCTTGATGTTCTCCGCATCCTGTTCTCCTTGGTGCTTCAATTAGAACAAAACAAAAAAAAAAAAAAAGAAAAAAAAAAAAAAAAAAAATAAAGTGTCTCAGGACATATCACAAAGTTAAGCAAAGTCGGTTATCATAAAAGATAATTTTTGTTTAAAAATGTAAATACCATTTTTTTTTTTTTTTTTTGGGGGGAGGGGGGTTGAAGTGGCTCATATCTAATGCGTAAAAATGAATTAATTAGATATGCTAATTATACTTAAATATCTGAGGAGGATATATAGACGGAATTCAAAGTATTAAAGACAATGTTCATTTGCAGTGAGAAGGATGTGCACATGAGTTGAGATAAGCATTTTTTTTTTTTTTTTTCACAAATTAATGAAACCAATTATCTACTCACAACAACGGAGATAATTATACTGGCAGTCTAGAGAGGACATATTAATGAACTTAAGGGTATTCTATCTATATATTTACTTCATATTCAAGTTAGAAATACACACATAAGCACAGACAGACATATACACATACACATACACATACACATATACACATACATACGCACACGCACACGCACACACTCCCGCGCTCACACACATACACACTAGTGCCTTGTGTCAATTTTATGACTATTAATGTCGTATCGTTAGTCACCATGTTTGTAAATATCTTTATCACCTCGGTATGTCTACAATTTCCATGAGAGAGAGAGAGAGAGAGAGAGAGAGAGAGAGAGAGAGAGAGAGAGAGAGAGAGAGAGAGAGAAGAGAGAGAGAGAGAGAGAGAGAGAGAGAGAGAGAGAGAGAGAGAGAGAGAGAGAGAGAGAGTCAAAGAGAGGAGAGACAGAGACAGAGACAGAGACAGACAGAGACAGAGAGACAAACAGACAACATACAGACAGAGAGACAGAAAGAGGAAAAAAAAGAGAGAAAAAAAAAGCGTCATGACCCCCCCCCCCCCCCATAATGTCCCGAAAAGTATTTCACGAAATACCCGTAAGTGACACAGATCTCCCTGCCTACCTGCCAATCCATCATACGAAATAACCCAACAGGTAATTCCATCAATATAATCATGCCGATGACGTCACTGCTGTATGTGAACGGTACCATCCTATCCCTTCACATCTAAATCACGCTGTTTGCTCTACTTAAACGCATTCCTTTAATAAACGATAATAATTTTTTTTTAAAGGATTTTAGAACACTTGAGTTTCTCTAAAAAGCAATTACACTTAAAAAGAAAAAGAAAAAGAAAACAAAAAGAAAAGAAAACAAAAAAATAAATAAATGAATAAAAAATAAAAGAAAAAATATCTCATACCGTAATGGGTTATTTCATCATTAAGAAAAGTGAAAAAGAAAAAAAAGAGAAAAAAAGACGTTAATTGCTCTCCTTTCTTCGCCAAAAGACAAAAGAGCGAAGAAAAAAACACATGACTGCGTGAATAAGTGGACTTGAATTACCCATCACAGTAATTAGTGTCGAGAAAGTGTAATAATCGGGGTAATTAATCGACTCACTGGCTTTCTTGCCCAATTTTCAACACTTTCACGTGTCCTGTTCGATACGTCAAGATTCTTCGTCAAATTCTTCGTCAAATTCTCGTGCGAAATGTTTGCAAAATTCTCGTCAGATTCTTTTAAAGTTCTTGAGATATTCTTCTTGTTAAGAGGCGTCTTGATAATGAAGTTATTTTTTCGTTTTCTTTCTTATCGCGAGTGAAATAATGAAAGGAAAAAAACTCGTAGGAATGTGGTTGATTCTCTCTCTCTCTCTTCTCTCCTCTCTCTATCTTTTCTATCTCTCCTCTCTCTCTCTCTCTCTCTCTCTCTCTCTCTCTCTCTCTCTCTCTCTCTCTCTCTCTCTCTCTGTCTCTCTCTCTCTCTCTCTCTCTCTCTATCTATCTGTTCTCTCTTTCCTCACTCTCTCTCTCTCCCTCTCCCCCCCTCTCTCTCTCTCTCGCTGTATCTCTATCTCTCTTCCTCTCTCCTTGTCTCCCTCTCCCTTTCTCCCTCTCTCCCTCCCTCAAAAGTTTCTCCGAACTCTCAAGTCGATGTATAAGGTACTATAGACGACAGAAACACGACGGAATCCGAAGAGGAGCCGCCAAAACAAGTTCATTCGGTCGATCCTTTTTTGGGCGTTCCGATTCCCTTTTCGCTCTCTCTCGTTAACGGTTAAGGAATTTGATCTTGTTTATTCTTAGATGGAAGAGAAGACTTGAAGACTTGATTGCATGTGAGGAAATGAGCTAAAGAGGTGGAATAGAGGAATGAGGAGGAGGGAAAAGGACTGAAGGAAGGGATAGGAGGAGGAAGGAGGGAGAAGAATAAGTGAAGGAGAGAGAGAGAGAGAGAATGGTACTAAAGGAACGGATAGAAAAGAAGTCAGGAGGAGAAAGGGGAGGAGGAGATAGAAATAAAAAAAGAAGTG